AAAATGTTCTTACTCCACTGGCAGAAATGTTTGACTTAATTTGAGTCAAATTATACATACAGTATATATCCCAATATTTGTGTTGATAAGCCTGAGTGGTCTGTTGACTGACCTTTGTATTTGTTCAAATAATTGTTATGGGCAGGTTACAATATAAAAATGTTTGTTATAATCATGTCTTGTGATTATTTGACAGGAGTTTTACTTTTAAACTGTAAGTGTATTTAATTTAGTTATGTTAGTTATGATGTAAATACAATATAAATTAAACAAAGATTTATAATAATTATCATTTTGATCCATACATTGGTAATGTCTGACTGGACCTCGTGTCACTTTATGTTCAACAAACTGGGCCCAGAGGTCAAAAAGGTTCAGAACTCCTGGTCTACTGTACAGAACTTTGGTTGGCCTTGTGCTGTTTAAAGTGCTTTATAAATAAAAGTGGTATGGTATGTTTATTGGTTTTTTTGGGGGTTTTACTAAGAGTAATTCATAGTTAATCATTAGTTAATTAGAATTTTAGTCTAAGGTTCTTAGAGTTCATGTGTTGTTTTTGCTGTTGTAACCTTGGGTCCTATCACACAAAGACACAAACACACAGGCTTCTCATGAGAAGCTCCCACATCTGACCACCTGCAGATCGCATTACGCACCCACATGATTCTTCCTGTTTCTTAAAACTGTCTGTTTTCAGTTAGTCAGTCTTCTACTCCTCTGTCCTTCCACATCAGGACCCTGGGGCGCTGGCCGCCTCGGGCTCCTTTTCCTATACTGGAAATTAGTCAGTCCAGTTCACCTCGCAGCATCATTTCCTACCTTTTTACAAGGAAATACCACCTTTTTGTGTCAAGGCTTGTTCTGCCTGAAACGTCATCCTTGCTGTGAGTTCCTGGTGGACCTTGCCGGCTCTGACCTGCCGCCTCACTGCTGAGTCGTAGTTCCTGAAGGCCTTTTCCCATTCGGCTGACAGAGGAGAGCTGCGGTGTTTGTCGTTCAACAGACAGACACTGGTGAAAATCTCTGTCTAACTGCCCACTGGATGTGCTGACCCTGGCTAAAGTAAAAGCTGATGCTTGGCTCATTTCGCTCACAGAGAACATGATTTAATTTCAAAAGAAGCCTTCAGAAACCTTAAAAAGATATATCTATTTTGTTTGTCTCTCTCTTTTGCTCTCCCACTTACTCTCTCTCTCTCTCTCTCTCCCACCCAAATCAAATACACTCGCACCCACACAAACACACATTGACCCAAAATGTACATAAATTAATCTGCTTTTGCTTAGTGTTTTAAAAATTAGAAACAATAACGTTTTAGTGAGAGCCCATTTTTTATTGTTCATTGTATGTAACTACACATATTGATCATTTATTAATCTCTTTTAATAAAAGTCAGTTAACTTTAACTGGCCAAAATAAACCTAAAAGACTTTGTTTGTTTTTGTGTTTGTGTCTGATTGTTAATTTTGCTTCAACAGAACCATTTACTGTGCCAGGAAGGAAAACTCTCATTAAAACTCATATTTATGGTTTTTAACAGGTTTTTTTTTGCTACAATAATAATATAAGTAGTTCATTAGATATTTTGCTAAAATATTCACAGTGTTGATTTCAGTGGAACTTATTTTCTGACAACTCTCAGTTGATCGTGGGCTCTAAAAATGTCAGTTTCGTAGCCGACAAACTAAAGTTTTCAGTAATCTTTCTCCTTACCCAGGCAGAGTTGGATTGGTTGAGTTGGTTGAGCATCACCACAGAGGTGCAGCCGTAGTCATAGACTAGCCTCCAGAAGTCAGTGGTGGTGCTGGGCAGGGGGTGTGGTGTCACAACGAAGGCAGCAGGTCGCAGAAAGCTGTCGGCCAGCGCCGCGTTGACATAGTTGCTGCTTTCTCCCTCAGCTGTGATGAGAAAGGCCAGGGAGCGGTCCGGTGGCAGAACGTCCATGCTGCGGTTCTTCTCACGGTTTCTGGGCATCAGGGAGATGCTGCACTCCTCCACATCCAGGTGAGGAGTCACTGAGTTCAGAGTCTGAGGATAGAGAAGGAGGAAGACAAAGACTGGGTAAAGAAGAGCAGACATGATTCCATTTTACATGTAAAATTAAAATAAAGATTCTAATTATTGTATGAAATTAATCAGGAATCTATCAACAATTAACATTTGCCGCCTTCCAATTAGTAAGTACCAGTAAGTAAAGTTTTATTTACATAGCGCCTTTCACAGAAATAAATTAACAAGGTGCTGTACATTCAGGGAATGGGGGAGGGGGCAGTTAAGAAACACCCATTCAAGAAGACATACAAGACAAACATGGGGGAACAGGTGAAACAGGTCATGCAGCAAACACAGCTGCGCTACTTTTAACAACAGAAAAACTTAAAACCATACAAGGGAAGATGAGGAAAAAAGCAAAAACATCATTATATCAACACTGTGACACACTATGGTGTTTATGAAAAAACCTCTGCATAGAGCAGATTTATTAGCCAGAAGAGTAAGTGAGTTTAGGGGGGCCCGAAGAATCCAGTCCCCAAAACCAGCGCAGCCATAGTTCAGAATATTGATGGTAAACTTCATTCTGTGGGGCCCTCAGCCTGTGGAGCAGAGCCTTGTTGACATAATCCAGTTAGGAAAAATTTAGTCAACAGCTCAAGGTCGTTGTAGGGGAGATCCAGATTCTGTAATCAGTTGTTTTGGGAACAGAAGGGACAGGCAGACGATAACAATTTTCCATCTGCTTTAGTGTCCTGCTGGTACATCTCAAGGTGGTGAATCCAGTCAGACAAATTGTGTGGACAAATTCCACTGAGCTGATCTATCAGCTTCTCCAAGATGAATTCCATCTGGCCAGCAAAGACCAGGGACCACAGCCAGCCCATGACCCTCAACAGAACCACTTGCAGACCGAGTCCAGCTCACTCAAGGCCCAATGTCCGAGTGCTGATAGAATACGGCCACCCATCAAATTGGTCAGTCAGCCAGGAGATGAAAAGCCACTGACGCTGTTTTTAGAACACCAGGAGACCACCAAGTCAATCTGTAGAATCCAGTGATCAGAGTCCAGATGAATATCCAGAACAGAGAAGAACAGAGGTCCCACCTTTGACATGTCCTCGGAAGAAGAAAAAAACTCTGTTCCAAAAATTTTATTGAGAGACCAGTTAACCAAATCCATAAAATAAAAATATCCATAACTTCTGGTTTCGGATGAAAAAAGAGAAGGCTCCAAGCAGCAAAGCAGGGAAGATAAGGAAAGGCAGGAGAGAAGGAAAAAGTGTCTTACTTTTCCGAGAGCAGGACAAAAAAATACTATAATTATTGCCATGTGAATGTATTTTTGTGTATGACGCTTTATCACTATCAGCTGCACGTTTGTCCCATGGTGGAAGGTGATGTGGAGCTGCTAACACTAATGCTAATGCTAACCCTTTTGAACACCGACATAAACTGGAGTACAAGGAACACCAGAAAATGCAGACCAAGGCCACAACGTCGGCCACATTGCCATCTATTAATCACTATATTAATAGTTATCGAATAAATGCCACAATTAATCATGATAAATTTTTGTCGGTTTTGCATATTCCTTATTCTAAATAAAGTTTATGATCAAGACAAGTCAAAGCAAGATGGTAAAAAAAAGTCTGAGTATTTTTAAGGGTCTGACCATAGACCAAACAGACAAGCACAACCAACTCCAATTACCAACAAGAAACTTCAGGACTAAACAAACAAAACTTAACATACTAAAACAGTCCTTTCATTATGAAAGTAAACTAGAAAGTGTCAAAATAAATGTCATCAGAAATTATGACTTAATGTTGAGTGCTGAAGACTTCTGTAGATGTGGAAACTCAGTTGGTATCAAATCAGCAGAAAGCTAACTAATAGCTACATTTAAAAAAAGGCTTGGTAAATTTAATAAAAGCCTAGTTAGAAGCTCATATTATCAAAAGTCTAGCTAAAATTGTCATACAGCAAACTAAAAGCTCAAAAAAGCAAAATGCTAGCTAAAATTTCTAGGCAGTAGACTATCTGAAAGCTAAACGTAAGGCTAGCAAAAAGTGTCAAGAGACTTGACAGAAGCGAAAATATCAAAAGAATAGCTAAAAGCTAGAAGCAGCAAAATGGTAGCTAACAGTATCAGAAAAGTAGCTTGAAACTAAAAGAGGGTTAAAATGTTGACCCAGATTTTAAAGAAAACAATATCTGAAGGAAAAGAAAAGATAAATATGTAAATAAAGTTTGGTATTTAAAAAAAACATAAAAATGTTAAATTACTGAACCCACCCCATTAATGACCTAAATGTTTTGATTTCTGATCGACTAAAATGGACAAGATATGCAGAAGTAGTTGGGAAATACAAAAAAATGTATGGACAAATAAAAATAATTCATTTTATATACCAAGCTTTTATAACATGATCCTGATTGCTGATCATGCACAGTTCCTTTAACATGAAATGTCAAACTTGTAAGATTACAACTTGGCAATTATTTGCAATTCTGAGCAGACTCTTATTCAACAACCCATGACAGTAAGAGTGGAGGAGTTGGCTTCATGTAAAGATAAAAATAACTTGTTTCTCTGATCAAAGGTCAATCAATAACAGATATAACTTTACTGGAAGGAAAGAAGTTACATATTCATGATTTACAACACAAAGTTTTAGTTGATAAAGTTTTCTTTGTTTAATGTATGGACATTTACACGCAGCTTCAGCTTCATGTTGACCACACTTTACTGTTTTAAAGAACTCATGAGGTAAAATCAGATCAAGATCCAGTCCTGTCACATGTTTATTCAGTGCACTGAGCAAAACAGAAAGTCACTGAAGTGTGTTGAACCAAGAGTGGCTTTACAAATACGCGCTTTACTTACTTTTTCATAATGATAACAACAACAACAACAACAACAACAACAACAACAACAA